TCATTCCATGGCTCAAACCCAAAATCACAGCTGTGTCCAGCTGTGCCAGGGTCTAAAATGCTTCTGACCTGGGCCTGGAACCTCCAAAAATGTCTGAGGGACATTTTGAGTTCCCACATCACTGGTACCTGTGCTGCCAGGTGAGGGCACCAGGGGCAGGAATTGGCTCTAAAAACGCTGGCACTGTGCAAAAATGACAATAAAAGTAGGGGGTGAAAGCCACAAATGGCTTCTGCCTCTTGGCTGGGGGAGGGAGCAAATGCTTTCAATGAAGTGTTCTTCCCTGAGTCCGGGGAAAAATCCTGGAAACCTCGGGCTGTTCCCGTGGCAGAAGGAGCAGCTGCTGCTGGGCAGAGCCGTGGCTGCCCCGGCACAGCCCTGGCACTGTCCCTGTCCCTGTGCCCATGGGGACCCGGCTCCCTGGCAGGCACAGCCCGAGCAGCGGGCTGCAATTCCGGGATGCAATTCTGGATGCCATTCTGGGATGCAAGTTTGGGATGCAATTCTGGATGCAATTCCGGGATGCAATTCTGGATGCCATTCTGGGATGCAAGTCCAGGACGCAATTCCGGGATGCAATTCTGGATGCCATTCTGGGATGCAATTCTGGATGCCATTCTGGGATGCAAGTCCAGGACGCAATTCCGGGATGTCATTCCCGGAGAACCTGCGGCTGCCCCTGGCACTGTCCCAGACCACCGCAGGGTTTGGAGCATTTTGGGACCGTGGAAGGTGTCCCCGCCCTGGCAGGGGTGGCACTGGGTGACCGCTGCGCCCCTTCCCAAGCGCTCCGGGTGTTTGATGGATTCTCCCCGGGGTGGAGCGCAGCGGGGCCGGTGCCCGTGCTGCCGGCAGGGAGGACCCGCTCTGTCACCCGGGGTGACGCGGCTGGGTAATTTCTGCGGTAATTAATGCCTCATTAAAGTGCACGAGGGAACAATCAGAGCGGCGGATTTTAGCCAGCACAATGGCTGGGCCCTCAGGGTTTTCCTGCCTTTCTTCGGAAAAGGAAACAGTCTTTTTCTGGCGTTAACTGCTCCCTGTCTGGAGGCAGAGGGGGAAGGAGCCTTGGTGGGCATCTCCATTCCCAGCTGGTGCTTGGGCATCACCTCCACTGGTGCTGGGATTTTCCTCTGCGATCCCCCCGGGGCCAGCTGAAACCTCCAGGTCGTGAAACCTGACTGGAGGCAGGGATGAACACCAGCCCCCTCCCAAAATGTTTGTGTTGGGATGCCGATCTGGGGGCAGGAGAAGGGCAGGAGGGATTTCCAGGGCTGGGAAGGAATTCCAAGGGGGAGCAGCAGCCTGCAGGTGTCCCGTGGGTGCTGCTGGTGGGGCAGGGTGACGGGGAGCTCCTTCCTGTGGGACCCCAGCCTTGCTCTGGGGTCTCGTGTGGTGGTGAAATTCCTCCTCCAACCCGTGCTTCCAAAGAAAAACTGCGCAGGCTCTTGCTGTTCGGTCTCAAGGCAGTTTATTGTGAGTTATCGAAAAGATTTTCTTCTCGGGCAGAAAGGTCAGAAGGAGGAAGACTTCATTGACTTCCTCATTTTGGGACCCCTCCCCATGAAAGGGACACCGACCCATTTCAAGGAACAAACCGGCTGAATGGCTTTTGGAGTGATTAGCATACAAAGTGAGGAACGGGATGTACCAAAATTATGAATATGTACTTGTATTTTGTGTATTCAATATTTGTATGGATAAAAAGGCTCTGTAATCACCTGGAAGCTGTGGGGTGGATTTGGGAATGATCCCACATGCAATAAACACACAATTTCTAACTTTAAACTGTTAAAGAGTTTTTGTCCGTCACAGTTGGATATTGGTACTAGATCAATATCCATATTTTTTTAATAAATCACCTGTCTCCTCAGGAGCCTGATGCCACGGACCCTGGAGGGACAGCTCACCATGGAGAAGACCCCCAGCTACTTTGTCACCAAGGAGGCCCCGCGGCGCATCCACAACATGTCCCGGGACACCAAGCTGATCGTGGTGGTGCGGGACCCCGTCACCCGCGCCATCTCGGACTACACGCAGACCCTCTCCAAAAACCCCTCCATCCCCAGCTTCCAGGCCCTGGCCTTCAAAAACCTCAGCACGGGGCTGATCGACACGAGCTGGAGCGCGGTGAGGATCGGCATCTACGCCAAGCACCTGGACAACTGGCTGCAGTACTTCCCGCTCTCCAAATTCCTCTTCGTCAGCGGGGAGAGGCTGGTCAGCGACCCCGCCGGGGAGATGGGCCGTGTGCAGGACTTCCTGGGCCTCCAGAGGCTGGTGACAGACAGACATTTCTATTTTAACCAGACCAAGGGCTTTCCCTGCCTGAAGAAGCCGGAGGTGGGGAGCAAACCCCGCTGCCTGGGGAAGTCCAAGGGGCGGCCGCACCCCAGGATCGACGGGCAGGTGGTGCAGCGCCTGCGGGAGTTCTACAGACCCTTCAACATGAAGTTTTACCAGATGACAGGGCAGGATTTTGGGTGGGACTGAGCCCAGCCCCAGGGCACGCTGCCGGGCTGGCACCTGGGCTGCCAGGACTGCGGCCCAGGGATGGCCGTGGTCATCATGGCCCAGGGATGGCTGTGGTCATCATGGCCCAGGGATGGCCGTGGTCATCGTGGTCAAGGGATCCTTATGGCCAGTGTGGTCCAGGCATGCCCGTGGTCCCTGTGGTCAAGGGATACCCATGGTCATCATGGTCAAGGGATCCTCATGGTCATAATTGTCCAGGGATGCCCATGGTCATCATGGCCCAGGGATGGCCGTGGTCATCGTGGTCAAGGGATGGCCATGGTCCCTGTAGTCAAGGGATACCCATGGTCATCATGGTCAAGGGATCCTCATGGTCATCATTGTCCAGAGATGCCCGTGGTCATTGTGGTCAAGGGATCCTCATGGCCAGTGTGGTCCAGGGATGCCTGTGGTCATCATGGCTAGGGATCCTTGTGGTCAGTGTGGTCCAGGGATGCCTGTGGTCATCATGGTCCAGGAATGCCCATGGTCATTGTGGTCCAGGGATGCCCATGGTCATCATGGCCCAGGGATGCCCTTGGTCACATTGTCCAGAGATGGTCATGGTCATCATGGCCCAGGGATGCCCTTGGTCACGTTGTCCAGGGATGCCCATGGCCACCCCACCAGCACCCTCCTCCCTTTGTTCTAATTTATATCGGACCTTTTCTGGCAAGAAACGGACTTTTCTGGAGTAGAGAGAAATATTTAATAATAAAAGCACAGATGAGCCCTCTCCCCTCCCTGAGCAGATTAAATATTCTTCCATATAAACCTCGCTGATCTCCGTTAACTGGGAGTGTTTTTGGGGGGAGGGTGGCTTTGTGTGCGTGGATCCAGCCCCAGAATGAAACCTTTGGAAACCTCTGGGCCACGCAGCCAGAGGGGTTTTGCTGGACCAGGTTCTGGGGGTGACACAGTCCCTGCTGGGCAGCAAACCCCAGTCCTGGGAGATCTTTTGGAGGTGGAAAAGAGTTTGTAGGAATTTCTCAGCTGAGCAAAACAATGAACAGGAGCAGTTCTGAATAAATGTCTGGTCCTGGTTTAGGGAGAGGGAGCTGTGGGTCACCTTCCCATGTTCCTTGGGTGGCCCATGATAGGGCAGGGCCTTTCTAACCCTTAGCAGGAAAATTCCAGCTTCTCCACAATTTTCCCATCTCTGCCCATTCAGTTCAATAATCTCAATAGTTTTTCAGCCATCGAGGGTCATCACGGGAGGCTGCAGAAATTACTTTAATCTCTACTAACTAGTTTTCCCTTAATTAAAAGATGGGGAAAACATTTAATTAACCTCTAAGATCTTATTAGTGACTTGTATTTGTCTCTTTAATGAGCTAATTATGAGTTTTGGAGGGCCCTCAGGCCCTGCAGTATTTGCAGATCTGCTTTGGCTGTGGTTTCTTCCACCGTGCAGCATCCCAGAGCTGCCCGTGCTGCTCAGGTGACCATGGAGGTGACAGTCCCCAGGGGCTTTGGAGAGCACCATTGGAGGTGACAGTCCCCAGGGCTTTGGAGAGGAACAATGGAGGTGACAGTCCCCAGGGCTTTGGAGAGGGGCCATGGAGGTGACAGTCCCCAGGGCTTTGGAGACGAACAATGGAGGTGACAGTCCCCAGGGGCTTTGGAGAGGAACAATGGAGGTGACAGTCCCCAGGGCTTTGGAGAGGAACCATGGAGGTGACACCTGTCTGCAACCTCCCTTCAGTAGCTGTGGAGAGCAATGAGGGCACCTCTGAACCTTTTCTTCTCCAGGCTGAACAACCCCAGCTCCTTCAAATGCTCCTCACAGAGGTGAACAGGCTGAACAAGCCCAGCTCCTCACAGGGTTTGTGCTCCCAGCCCTTCTCCAACCTCGTTGCCTCCTCAAGCATCTCCATGTCCTTCCCAAACGGAGGGGCCAGAGCTGGGCACAGCCCTCGAGGTGTGCCCAGGGGCAGAATGAGCTCCCTGCTCCTGCTGGCCACACCATTCCTGAGCCAGGCCAGGGGCCATCGGCCTCTTGGCCACCGAGGCACACTGCTGGCTCGTGTTCAGCCTCCTGTCCAGCACCCCCAGTACGCTGAGTATTTGTGACAGCCACCCCTCTAAACCCCTTTCATCATAACCCAACTACATGCTTAACAACTCTCACCTATGTTATAAATGAGAATTTGGCCAGCCAAATCTAAAATGAAAAAATAAAATATTTCTTTTGCAATCAAATTCTATCTAGCCAGCCACAAGGCAAGAACAGAGCCGAGCCCGGGGTCGGCACCAGAATTCAGCCTCAGCAGAGGTTTCCCTCCATGCCCACACACCTCCAGCCTGGCACGAGTGGTTTTTATAGGGAAAATTC